AGACCCAACCTAACCAATGCCTATAAATGCACAATATACTAATATATTATAATATTAATTTATATTTGAGAACATTTCCATTTTGAATGACCAGCATGTAAAAAATTACGAATGCGTCTGTGGGGTCGAACGCTGGATGGAATGGACTTGAGTCGAGGACGGGTTGTCCCGACTAGTTAAGGAACTTCCGCAACACCAAACAACATGTAGGAGACAACACCAGCCAAACAAGGCAGTTACAGCCCCGTTCCTTATCCCAGGTAAGTCCACTACAGCCTCACCATAGCCCAGGCTACTGGAAACTTATCTAAATCTAAAAAAAAACAAGCCAAACAAGGACTAGTTTGTTGGGCGGCGTAGCCTAGGGTGTTGCGCGGCCCGGCCACCCCCCCCCCCCTCACTCGGGTACATAGGAAACTAAAAAAATCATAAATAAATAATAATAACAGAAAATAATACGCATGTCTTCCCCCCACCAATCACTTCTCTATGCCAATAATATTCGAATAATGGTAATAAGCTCATTTAAACCCCGCACTTATGTAAGGAGGAAGCAGGGGCAGGGAGGGGGGAGGAAGCAGGGGCAGGGAGGGGGAGGAAGCAGGGGCAGGGAGGGGGAGGAAGCAGGGGCAGGGAGGGAACAGGAGGCAGGGGCAGGGAGGGGGAGGAAGCAGGGGCAGGGAAGGGGGAGGGGGAGGAAGCAGGGGTAGGGAGGGGCAGGAGCCAATCATCCCAGTAGGAGGCGTCTGATTACTGCCTCCTAATCTTTTGTTGCTGCCAAACAATTCCTTCCCATAATGTATGCGCATAACTGTGTCGTGTGTTTGTCGGAACATTCTCCTGGTAGTCGACCCGAGCTTAGTAACCGCTGTAACTCTCTGAGAGCAGGAGAGGACTGACGGCCCGTGGATTGGCTGGATATATATGCCCCTTGTCGCTCAGTATATATATTAGCAGAGGCTATCCATGGATTAATTGGATACATCCGTCTTTTTGCAGCCAGACTATTGTGTTCAGTAGTGTTCAGGTCAGAGTGTGGGTGGTGGTGGTGTGTGTTCAGCAGTGTTCAGGTCAGAGTGTGGATGCTGGTGGTGTGTGTTCAGTAGTGTTCAGGTCAGGGTGTGGGTGGTGGTGGTGTGTTCAGCAGTGTTCAGGTCAGAGTGTGGATGCTGGTGGTGTGTGTTCAGTAGTGTTCAGGTCAGGGTGTGGGTGGTGGTGGTGTGTGTTCAGCAGTGTTCAGGTCAGGGTGTGGATGCTGGTGGTGTGTGTTCAGTAGTGTTCAGGTCAGGGTGTGGGTGGTGGTGGTATGTGTTCAGCAGTGTTCAGGTCAGAGTGTGGATGCTGGTGGTGTGTGTTCAGTAGTGTTCAGGTCAGGGTGTGGGTGGTGGTGGTATGTGTTCAGCAGTGTTCAGGTCAGAGTGTGGATGCTGCTGGTGTGTGTTCAGTAGTGTTCAGGTGTGTTCAGGTCAGGGTGTGGATGGTGGTGGTGTGTGTTCAGTAGTGTTCAGGTCAGGGTGTGGATGGTGGTGGTGTGTGTTCAGTAGTGTTCAGGTCAGGGTGTGGGTGGTGGTGGTGTGTGTTCAGTAGTGTTCAGGTCAGGGTGTGGATGCTGGTGGTGTGTGTTCAGTAGTGTTCAGGTCAGGGTGTGGATGGTGGTGGTGTGTGTTCAGTAGTGTTCAGGTCAGGGTGTGGATGCTGGTGGTGTGTGTTCAGTAGTGTTCAGGTCAGGGTGTGGATGCTGGTGGTGTGTGTTCAGTAGTGTTCAGATCAGGGTGTGGATGGTGGTGGTGTGTGTTCAGTAGTGTTCAGGTCAGGGTGTGGGTGGTGGTGGTGTGTGTTCAGTAGTGTTTAGGTCAGGGTGTGGATGCTGGTGGTGTGTGTTCAGTAGTGTTCAGGTCAGGGTGTGGGTGGTGGTGGTGTGTGTTCAGCAGTGTTCAGGTCAGGGTGTGGATGCTGGTGGTGTGTGTTCAGTAGTGTTCAGGTCAGGGTGTGGATGCTGGTGGTGTGTGTTCAGTAGTGTTCAGGTCAGGGTGTGGGTGGTGGTGGTGTGTGTTCAGCAGTGTTCAGGTCAGGGTGTGGATGCTGGTGGTGTGTGTTCAGTAGTGTTCAGGTCAGGGTGTGGGTGGTGGTGGTATGTGTTCAGCAGTGTTCAGGTCAGGGTGTGGATGCTGGTGGTGTGTGTTCAGTAGTGTTCAGGTCAGGGTGTGGGTGGTGGTGGTGTGTGTTCAGCAGTGTTCAGGTCAGGGTGTGGATGCTGGTGGTGTGTGTTCAGTAGTGTTCAGGTCAGGGTGTGGGTGGTGGTGGTGTGTGTTCAGCAAGCACAACTAGGTAAGTACACCAACGAGACCGTGTCGCACCGTATACACTCTCTCAAAACGAAACGAGAGATTATACCATATATACATAATAGGCCTTGGAAAATGAGCTCTCAATCACCACAAAATATCAACTTATTAGAGCAAAAGATATGGCAAGAAAAGCAGAATAAAAAATAAAAATTAAAAAATAAAATAAAATGTTTATTCAGGTAAAGTGCATACATACAAGGTGAGATACAAACATTGATGGATTTATAAATACAGCTAGTACATACAGTGCCTAAAGCCACTATTACGCAAAGCGTTTCGGGCAGAGGAATAGACCCAATGAAGAGTACAGGTGCCATAGGGATAATGCACTGTATGAATATTTGCTGTCCTCGGCTCTTCAATCTCCTCGCACCGAGTACACAAAAATGTTGCCGGAACACAAGTTCATGTGTTCAAGAGGCACTTGAGTACACGTTCCTGCAGTGAGTGCCCTCCCAGCTGGGTCTTTTTTTTTGAGATATATACAGGAGTTGTTACATTCTTGTACAGCCACTAGTACGCGTAGCGTTTCGGGCAGGTCCCTGGAATACGATCCCCGACGCGAAGAATCGTTGCTACAACCAAGTACACATTTTACTGTTGAGTTAAACAGAGGCTACAGTTAAGGATTTGCGCCCAGTAAATCCTCCCCGGCCAGGATACGAACCCATGACATAGCGCTCGCGGAACGCCAGGCGAATGTCTTACCACTACACCACGGAGACTGACTAGACACGGGTCTAGAGGGTTGGTGAGCCTGCGGATTACTGCAAGCAACAACAGCCTTGTATATAAAGTTATTAACAGAGAAGCCTAGTCCCCCGACCACGGTTCAGGAACACAAGAGATCACGAAACTGTTAATTTGTTTGCATAAAAGTTGTAAATCAACGGAACAGGTTATAATATTCTGTTGAACCGACATCTATCCGCATCTTCAAGGGCAGATATGACAAGTTACACGTAGCAGCCACAACGCATTAACTATACGACAGCTGAATAACTGGGCCTTAGGATTCTAAGGTCAACCGTGTAGGCACAGTTAGGTGAGTATTTGTACGCAAGTCCAAACACACACTCACAAATAAATACAGACATAAAGAGTGCCCACAAGAGACTAGTCCACAAGTTGGAGAAGCAGGCAGGAGTGACAGAGAAAGTGCTCTGGTGGACAAGGGAGTACCTAAGCAACAGAAAACAGCGAGTCACTGTGAGGGGTGAGGTCTCAGAGTGGCGAGATGTCCCCAGCGGAGTCCCCCCAGGGTTCAGTTCTCGGACCTTTCCTGTTTCTCATATATGTAAACAATCTTCCAGACAGAATAGATTCATCCTACTCAATGTTTGCTGATGATTAAAAAAAATATGTGGTGGATGAAGACAGAGTAAGACAGCATGAGGCTGCAAGATGACATTGATAAACTGAAAGTATGGCTACTAGATTTTAACTGTAGAATTTAAATGCAAAGTAATCTAACAAGGAGGCCGGACACAAGGTACCAAATGGAGATGAAATCCTTAATGAAACAGATAGAAGGATTTAGGAGTTGGTATCATACCGAACCTGAAACTCACATCAGAATGATATCTTCAGAAAATGTGTGGCTGATTAACATCAGAACTGCCGTTAGACATTAGCATAAGGAATCATTCCTGTCTTTGTATACCATATATGAGGCCAGTTCTAGAGTATGCGGCCCCAGCGTGGACTCTATATCTACAAGGAATCTCTACATGAATTTAACCTCACGTCGCTGGAAGACAGAAAAGTTACGGGAGACATGATTACCACATATAGAATTTTCAGGGGAATTGACAGAGTAGATAAAGACAAACTTTAGCACGGGTGGTACTCGCACAAGGGGACACAGAAAACTGAGAATTCAAATGAGCCACAGGTTCATTAGAGATAAATTTTGTTCAGTGTGAGAGTAGTTAACAAATGGAATGAACTAGGAAGTGAGGTGGTGGAGGCAGACTCCATACACAGGTTCAAATGTAGATATGACAGAGCCCAATAGGCTCAGAAACCTGTACACCAATTGATTGACCCTTGAGAAGCAGGACCAAAGAGCTGAAGCCCAACCCTCGCAAGGACAATAAGGTGAACACACACCTGCGCACCCTTTACGTCCCCGGCTTTGTCTCAAACTGCGCGTTGATGGATGAGAAGATTAAAGCTAAAAGTGTTTGATTAAATTATTAAAGGCTCCCGTGATTTGCGCTTGGCGGGGCGGTGGTGGGGGGTGTTTGTTTACAGTGGGGCGGTGAGTTATCGTGCACCTGGCACCGCCGCTCGTGGTAGTCAAATGAGCGCCTATTCCCGCCTGCCATCTGGATTACGCGTAAAATTAATAAAAATCAATGGTTGGGGGCATTTCACTCGCCCTGTTCATTAAGGCTCATTTGCATATAGAGTAAGCCATACGGTATCAACTGTACGCGAGTGATAATCGGACTCTGTCATCGCCCGAACCTGATTTTTTTTGTACCTAATCAGCTTAGCAGGCGCCGGAAATGGCGTGGAGCCGCCTCGCGCCGCTCCGCACCTGTTCAACAGATTATGGTGTTTTGATATTCATTATGGACGCTCATGTGTTTCCTCATTTGAATATCTGAACTCCAATGTTTCACTGTCGCTGCCGCCTGGGGACTCTTATCGGTGACAGTGCCGTTGTTCTGGCCGGCTGGGGGCCGTTGTTCTGGCCGGCTGGGGGCTGTTGTTCCGGCCGGCTGGGGGCTGTTGTTCCGGCCGGCTGGGGGCTGTTGTTCCGGCCGGCTGGGGGCTGTTGTTCCGGCCGGCTGGGGGCTGTTGTTCTGGCCGGCTGGGGGCTGTTGTTCCGGCCGGGTGGGGGCCGTTGTTCTGGCCGGCTGGGGGCTGTTGTTCCGGCCGGCTGGGGGCTGTTGTTCCGGCCGGCTGGGGGCCGTTGTTCTGGCCGGCTGGGGGCTGTTGTTCTGGCCGGCTGGGGGCTGTTGTTCCGGCCGGCTGGGGGCTGTTGTTCCGGCCGGCTGGGGGCTGTTGTTCCGGCCGGCTGGGGGCTGTTGTTCCGGCCGGCTGGGGGCTGTTGTTCTGGCCGGCTGGGGGCTGTTGTTCCGGCCGGCTGGGGGCCGCTGTTCTGGCCGCCTGGGGGCTGTTGTTCCGGCCGGCTGGGGGCTGTTGTTCCGGCCGGCTGGGGGCCGTTGTTCTGGCCGGCTGGGGGCTGTTGTTCTGGCCGGCTGGGGGCTGTTGTTCCGGCCGGCTGGGGGCTGTTGTTCCGGCCGGCTGGGGGCTGTTGTTCCGGCCGGCTGGGGGCTGTTGTTCCGGCCGGCTGGGGGCTGTTGTTCCGGCCGGCTGGGGACTGTTGTTCCGGCCGGCTGGGGTCTGTTGTTCCGGCCGGCTGGGGGCCGTTGTTCTGGCCGGCTGGGGGCTGTTGTTCCGGCCGGCTGGGGACTGTTGTTCCGGCCGGCTGGGGGCTGTTGTTCCGGCCGGCTGGGGGCTGTTGTTCCGGCCGGCTGGGGGCTGTTGTTCCGGCCGGCTGGGGGCTGTTGTTCCGGCCGGCTGGGGGCTGTTGTTCCGGCCGGCTGGGGGCTGTTGTTCCGGCCGGCTGGGGGCTGTTGTTCCGGCCGGCTGGGGACTGTTGTTCCGGCCGGCTGGGGACTGTTGTTCCGGCCGGCTGGGGGCTGTTGTTCCGGCCGGCTGGGGACTGTTGTTCCGGCCGGCTGGGGACTGTTGTTCCGGCCGGCTGGGGGCTGTTGTTCCGGCCGGCTGGGGGCTGTTGTTCCGGCCGGCTGGGGGCTGTTGTTCCGGCCGGCTGGGGGCTGTTGTTCCGGCCGGCTGGGGGCTGTTGTTCCGGCCGGCTGGGGGCTGTTGTTCCGGCCGGCTGGGGGCTGTTGTTCCAGCCGGCTGGGGGCTGTTGTCCCGGCCGGCTGGGGGCTGTTGTTCTGGCCGGCTGGGGGCTGTTGTTCCGGCCGGCTGGGGGCTGTTGTTCCGGCCGGCTGGGGGCTGTTGTTCCGGCCGGCTGGGGGCTGTTGTTCCGGCCGGCTGGGGGCTGTTGTTCCGGCTGGCTGGGGGCTGTTGTTCTGGCCGGCTGGGGGCTGTTGTTCCGGCCGGCTGGGGGCTGTTGTTCCGGCCAGCTGGGGGCTGTTGTTCCGGCCGGCTGGGGGCTGTTGTTCTGGCCGGCTGGGGACTGCTGTTCCGGCCGGCTGGGGGCTGTTGTTCTGGCCGGCTGGAGCCTGTTGTTCTGGCCGGCTGGGGCCTGTTGTTCCGGCCAGCTGGGGGCTGTTGTTCCGGCCGGCTGGGGATTGCTGTTCCGGCCGGCTGGGGGCTGTTGTTCTGGCCGGCTGGGGCCTGTTGTTCTGGCCGGCTGGGGCCTGTTGTTCCGGCCAGCTGGGGGCTGTTGTTCAGGCCGGCTGGGGGCTGTTGTTCCGGCCGGCTGGGGGCTGTTGTTCAGGCCGGCTGGGGGCTGTTGTTCCGGCCGGCTGGGGGCTGTTGTTCCGGCCGGCTGGGGGCTGTTGTTCCGGCCGGCTGGGGGCTGTTGTTCAGGCCGGCTGGGGGCTGTTGTTCAGGCCGGCTGGGGACTGTTGTTCCGGCCGGCTGGGGGCTGTTGTTCCGGCCGGCTGGGGGCTGTTGTTCAGGCCGGCTGGGGGCTGTTGTTCCGGCCGGCTGGGGGCTGTTGTTCCGGCCGGCTGGGGGCTGTTGTTCAGGCCGGCTGGGGGCTGTTGTTCCGGCCGGCTGGGGGCTGTTGTTCAGGCCGGCTGAGGACTGTTGTTCCGGCCGGCTGGGGGCTGTTGTTCTGGCCGGATGGGGACTGTTGTTCCGGCCGGCTGGGGGCTGTTGTTCAGGCCGGCTGGGGACTGTTGTTCTGGCCGGCTGGGGGCTGTTGTTCCGGCCGGCTGGGGGCTGTTGTTCCGACCGGCTGGGGGCTGTTGTTCCGACCGGCTGGGGGCTGTTGTTCAGGCCGGCTGGGGGCTGTTATTCTGGCCGGCTGGGGGCTGTTGTTCCGGCCGGCTGGGGCTGTTGTTCCGACCGGCTGGGGGCTGTTGTTCAGGCCGGCTGGGGACTGTTGTTCCGGCCGGCTGGGGGCTGTTGTTCCGGCCGGCTGGGGGCCGTTGTTCAGGCCGGCTGGGGGCTGTTGTTCAGGCCGGCTGGGGACTGTTGTTCCGGCCTGCTGGGGGCCGTTGTTCCGGCCGGCTGGGGGCCGTTGTTCAGGCCGGCTGGGGGCCGTTGTTCAGGCCGGCTGGGGGCCGTTGTTCCGGCCGGCTGGGGGCCGTTGTTCCGGCCGGCTGGGGGCCGTTGTTCCGGCCGGCTGGGGGCCGTTGTTCCGGCCGGATAGAGATGTGCGATGAATAATTATGAACGAAAATATGTTGATTGACTCAGCTGGCTGAGTCATACACTTGTGTCTGCGTTGGTGCGTGCGTGTGATGTGTGCGTGCGTGTGATGTGTGCGTGCGTGTGGGTGTATGTGCGTGCGTGTGGGTGTATGTGCGTGCGTGTGGTGTATGTGCGTGCGTGTGGGTGTATGTGCATGTGTGTGGTGAATGTGCGTGCGTGTGGTGTGTGTGTACTCACCTAATTGTACTCGCTTATATCTTTTTTGTGGGAGTTGAGCTTCAGTTCTTTGGTTCCGCCTCTCGACCATCAATCAACAGATGTACAGATTCCTGAGCCTACTGGGCTCTACCATATCTACATTATAAACTGAGTATGGAGTCAGCCTCCACCACATCACTGCCTAATGCATTCCATTTACTAACTACTCTGTCACTGAAAAAGTTCTTTCAATTGTCTCTGTGGCTCATTTGGGTACTCAGCTTCCACCTGTGTCCCCTTGTGCGTGTACCACCTGTGTTAAATAAGCCGTCCTTGTCTACCTTGTCAATTCCCCCTGAGAATTTTGAATGTGGTGATCATGTCTCACCGAACTCTTCTGTTTTCCAGCGATGTGAGGTGCAATTCACGAAGCCTTTCCTCGCAACTCATGCCTCTTAGTTCTGGCACTAGTCTAGTGCCATACCTTTGAACCTTCTCCAACTTCGTCTTATGAGTGTGTGTGTGTGTGTGTGTGTGTGTGTGTGTGTGTCTGTGTGTGTGTGTGTGTGTGTGTGTGTGTGTGTGTACTCACCTATTAGTACTCACATAATTGTGCCAGCAGGATCGATCATTACCTCTTGGACCCCGCATCTCTAGCCGTCGGTTGTTTAAAGCAATGACTCCTGTCCTATTTCCCTTATCATATCTATTTTAAAATGATAAATGAAGTTTGTTTTCACGATCTGTTCCTTTATCTTATTCCATTTTCCAACTACTCTTACGCTAAATGTAAACTTTCTAACATCTCTATGACTCATCTGAGTCTCAAGCTTCCATTCATACCCATTTGTCCTATTGGCATTAAATGTGAACAGTTCCTTTATTTCCACTCTGTCAATCCCCATTAGTATTTTATACGTCGCTATCATGTCTCACCTCTCTTTATTTTTTTCCTAGCGTCGTCAGGTTCATTTCTTCTAGTCGCTCTTCATATCCCATCCGTCGCAATTCTGGGACGAGCCTCGTCGCAAACTTGTAAATCTTTTTCAGTTTCCTTATGTGTTTCTTCAGTTGGGGACTCCGTGATGGGGGCGGCATATTCTAAGAATGGTCTCACGTAGGCAGTGTAAAGTGCTCTAAAAGCCTCCTTATATAGGTTCCTGAATGAACTATCGTAAATGTGTTTTACATACCTTATTTTTCTAAGTATGTGACTAGTCTTAACCTGGTTATTCTTCCAAGTACTTTGTAAGTGATGGTCGTCAGTGATGCAGGTCTGTCGTTAAGTGCCTCTTCTCTATCTTCAGTCTTATACATTGGATCCACATACGCATTCTTCCAGGAACTGAGCAACTGTCCCTTCATAAGGGACTCATTAAAGATCCTTGCTCGAGGCATGGTACTCTGTCATAGAACTCTTAAGTCGGTGAAGGAAGAGTTCACTCTTAAGATTCGGTGAACTCTTTAAGTCGGTGATTCTTAACTGAATCCACGTTGATGTTTGAAAGTTGGCATGTTGTAAATGATCAACGAACCTTCTATTGATTAGTCTCTAATATCTCACAGAGAATACTTGTCAGTGATACTAGTCTGGAGTTTACTGGTTCCCATTTACCTTCTTTCTTGTGAAGTGCTACTACATTTGTCACTTTCCAAATGTCAGAAAGTTCCCCCATTTCTCGTGAGGGGCGGAAGACTATAGCCAGGGGTCCGCACAGTGCTGCAGCTGCCTCCTTTAGGACCCATGCTGAGATCTTGTCAGGGACTGTGGCCTTCACCACATCCAGCTCCTGTGTTTATTCCCTCCGCTGTTACTTCCATGTCCACCATTGTCTTTCTTCTCGTAGCACCTGTTCCTTCAGATGTCATCAATTTGGTGTACATTTCTGGTCCAGACTTGAATGTTGCAGAAAGTTGTTTTTCAACACCCCGCACAACATTTTTCTATAACCCGTGCACAACATCCAGCACCCGTGCAACATATAACACCCGTGCAATATCCAAACATTCGTGCAACCTCCAAACATTCGTGCAACCTCCAAACATTCGTGCAACCTCCAAACATTCGTGCAACCTCCAAACATTCGTGCAACCTCCAAACATTTGTGCAACATTCTACATGTTTGCAACATCCGCCCCTACTGCGCACATACACCACAATTACAACACAACCACTACAATTACCCCTTCTCCCCCCACTCCCCCTTCTCCCCCCCCTCACTCCCTGGACACAGAGCTTCCCTCCCTCTTCCCCTCACGCCCCTCCGTTTCCCTACCCTCCCTTACATCCACCCCTCCTCTTCCCTTCCATACCTTACCTCACCCCCCTTTCCCTATGTCCCTCCGGCTTCTCCCCACCCCTACCCCCCCCCCCCCAAACTTTCCCTCCCGCCTCTCCCCTCCCCTACCCTCCTTGCCCCAACCTCCCCCCCCCTTCCCCCTTTATATTGAGAACATAAATTAACGCTGTAATAACCGCTAAAGGGAAGGGTAGGCTTTGCGAGTACACAGGTGGACAGGCGAACTATGCCCTGCTTATTATGCCAGAGCTAACTACCTATTGCTGGGGGGAGGGGGGGAGGCGTGAAATGGGGGTAATGGGTGATGGGTTAGAGGGGGGGTGTGAAGGTGGGTGAGAGGGGTTGGGGGGTGGGGGGTTGTATGGTTGCTTTACAGGCAGAGGTTTAAGAAAGGTGTGTGTGTGTGTGTGTGTGTGTGTGTACTCACCTAGTTGTGTCTGCAGGATCGAGCATTGACTCTTGGATCCCGCCTTTCGAGCATCGGTTGTTTACAGCAATGACTCCTGTCCCATTTCCCTATCATACCTGGGTTTAAAATTGTGTGTGTGTGTGTGTGTGTGTGTGTGTGTGTGTGTGTGTGTGTGTGTACTGGGAGAGGGGGGAGAGCTAGGTAGGTACAGTCTTGCCTGGGAGAGGGATGAGGGGGAGGGGGGGGGGGGGTAGGGTGGGTAGGGGGGGTAGGGGGGGGGGTAGGGGGGATGGGAAGGACGCAGTTGACATCTATATATATCTGGTGAGCTTTGATATGCAAATGAGCCAGCATAAGCATGTGTACAGGTCAGATATGACCGTGTCCTCGCGGGCCTGCGACCATAATTAACCAATCCAGACCTTCCATTACTTCAAAATGCTAAAAACACTGACAAAGTGAAGAATATCATATAAGAATAAAAATATATAAGAATATCATATTTATACGAATATTCTTATATATGATATAATAATATATGATATTCTAATAATATAAGATTATTCTAAGATTATATATCTAAATATAAAATTATATATCTAAATATAAGAATATTCTTATATATGATATATCTTACATATGATATAAGATATATATCTTATATCATGTATAAGATATTCTTATATATGATATAAGTATATCATATATAAGAATAAATGAAAATATCAACAGAGTTTAATTTTCTTGACTTTGAGAGTCAAGGAAATGCAGGAATGTTTTTTTTATTAATATTAAAACATTCAACAGTGAAAGTTTTTAGTGAATTCAATATTTTGTATTTAAGCAGTGCTTAATCTGAGCAACTATGAAGGTTAAATCAGGGGGTTCGAACTTGTATTCCTGGCCTCAGTATTTCCTCGTAGATCCACGACGTTGTTGTGGAGGGCATTGTGCAGGGATTCACCGTTGTGGAAATGTAGCATTTAGACGCATGTCGACAGTCACAACTAAGGTTATTACAAATAATATTATACGAATGGTGAGGAACTTAGTGAGAGAGAGACGAGACCTTAGGAATGAGGAGATATTTCCAGCGGAGCATATAAGATGTCCTCCATGACTTGACTGGCACCTTGAGGTTATCTTGAGATGATTTCGGGGCTTCGTGTCCCCGCGGCCCGGTCCTCGACCAGGCCTCCACCCCCAGAAAGCAGCCCGTGACAGCTGACTAACTCCCAGGTACCTATTTACTGCTAGGTAACAGGAGCATCAAGGTGAAAGAAACTCTGCCCATTGTTTCTCGCTGGCGCCCGGGATTGAACCCGGGACCACAGGATTATGTGTGCAGTGTTCTGTCCGCTCAGCCACCGGTTCCCTCCCTGTCTCATTTCTGAACCATGTAAAGTGTCCGTCAGAGGAGACTGACTGGGGCCTGTCTTAGTCCTGATCCATGTTAAGGATCTTCACAAGGGGAATGACCCATCCCTCTTAGTATTTGCTGATGCGGGAAACACATACAAAAGATGATCGCTAGATCTTCTTGCGATCTTCAGCTAAGTTCAGTAGAACTTCGGTTTCAACTCCTTTTACTATGTCGTAGCTCAGTCGATTAAGGGAGCGTCTGGGATGCTCTCGGACGCAGGTTCGAATCCTCGTCATGGCCCTTGTGGATTTGTTCATCGCAAGATATTAGGGAATGACCTAAACAAAATTGAAGAATAGCCCTGCAAGTGGCTACTAGAATTTAACTGAAGCAAGTGCATAGTAACGTAGCAAGATGCCAGGAACAGAAAACTGGACACAAGGAACCAAATGTGAAAGAAAACCTTCCTAAAAAGCAGACAGAAAAAGACAAGAAAGAATGGTCCCTCAAATGGTTGTTAGACTTCAACTTACACAAGTGCAAGTACAACTCACACAGAAGAGCTTAAGGAGACATGATCACCACATACACAATACTCAGAAAAAATTATTGTTTGATATGAGTGGTACACGAACACGAGTGAACAATTGCAATGTAAGTACAGACATAAATAACAGACACACGCAAATATGACTTTTGTTCAATGTCAGAGTAATGAACAACGGGGAAACAAACAGGTTTAACTGTAGCTTTGGTCGAGTAATGGGCTTGGAAAGACAGGTGATTGAAGGTTGAGAGACCAAGTTCAATCCCCAGGTGCATAATTAGGTGTTACTCTATGATAAAACTCCAAGAATAAACTCCATGATAAAACTCCATGATAAAACACCAAGATAAAACACCATGATAAAACACCAAGATAAAATACCAAGATAAAACTCCAAGATAAAACACCAAGATAAAACACCATGATAAAACACCATGATAAAACACCAAGATAAAACACCAAGATAAAACACCATGATAAAACACCATGATAAAACACCAAGATAAAACACCAAGATAAAACACCAAGATAAAACACCATGATAAAACACAAACATATCACACACGATGGAGACAAAGAACACGGATAAAGAGGAACACGGCAACGAAGCAAATGAGAAAGAAGAGAAAATGATGTAACGGGGGGGGGGTGGGGGGAAATAGCACTATCTTGTCCATTATTCCACCCCCCAGTTAACTAACGAGGCCGGGGGAAACAGCTCTCTCTTGTCCGTTATCCCGTCCCCAGTTAGCTAACTATTCTAGAGCACCTCCAGAGTTCCTAAGGCAACCTCTCTCGTTCAACACCTTGTAACCTAGGTATTTGACTACCTAAGTGCTAAGACTACAAGGCGCTGTCACTTGATCAGTTACCCGAAACTCTAGAGAGAACTCTAGAATACAGAATCATTGCCACAAACGTATAAGAGAAAACGAGAGGAAAGAAATGAAATGTGAAGTAATTAGTGAGGGTTTGGGGTGAGAGGCAGAGAGGTCGGAGGAGCGAGGAGGGTCATTAGTTGAAAGTGAGAGTTTAGAGAGGGGTGGAGGGAGAGGAATAGATAGGTAGAAGTAGAAGAGTAGATAGTAGACGTAGAAGAGTAGATAGTAGAAGACGAAATGCTGCCACCATCCATTCATGATCATTACATACAAGACAAGGAATGGAACTTGCCTGTATCACAAAATTCTCAAAAGGTGTTATCATGAGTTCATTATTAGTATGTTCCCTCTGTACCATGTACTCATTAAAATCAGGGAACCAATAATCCCCGAGGAGGCTTTCTCACCTCAACTCAACTCTCTAGGAAACACAGTGAAAGACCATTTAAATAATAAATTCAACAATTATATTTTTCATGATAAGTATAATAACTTAAGCAATTCAATTAAAATGTTCCAGTTTAATATTTAAAGTGAGTCATCCTCCAAGAATCTGAGAACCCTACAACTTGACTGCCCCTGATCATCACACAACACTTGTAAAACACGACCAAGTCACCTTAATGTTCACTCACCGAGGACTGAGTCTAAGTTGAATAGAGAGGGGGGGGGGTCTGTAGTTGACAGAGACTCCCGCCCTTGCCGGCCGACAGCCTCCCTGATAGGGACGTCGTCTCTGCTCTCGTCTGCTCTTCTCTTGATGCTGTTCTGTCTGTCAATCCTTTTTCTTGCTGGATAGCTCTCCGAGTTTATATTGGGGAACCTAGTAGCTAACTCCGCCCACAAATAGATAGCCTCCGGCACTACCAAGCCACTCCTTAAACGTCGGCTTGTTTGA